CAACATCCGGTGATATTGTGTAGCGAAAGCGTACAAGTGTTTGCTTGTATGCAAGACAATAACACACATACATACATCTTTATAAGAGGAACTGTTGTTAAATATCGCACAAAGGCTGCGTCGAACGTCGGTGTTGCTTAAAAATGCTTTGATTTCGCCACGCTGTGTTAAGCGTAATGACGTCGCAAATATGTCAGCAGTTTGGGGTGAAGCGACAATGGCGGCGTCAACGTCTCATTCATAGATCTCCCGTTACATGTGTGCACAAGAGTAAGTCGCTCTTCATTGTCTGCAATTTACTTTGCGCGTTTGTTTGTTTATGCTTGCCATGCAGACATTTGTGGGTGCCACATTATTTGCTTTGCTGTCTTCATTCATATTAAACGGTTTGCTTACCTTTCTGCGTAATTATTTGCCGCTTTTTCTTGTATTTGGTTTCAGAATGTTTTCATTGCTATTCTTACAAACCTATGAAAGTGACAAAGGTTGATGAAAACTCCATTTTGCATAAATATTTCTATGAAACTCTATGAATCCTATGCAGGTTTGGTATATGTAAATTGACTTTCGCTTGATTAATTACAAACGGTAATCACTCTTTTTGGTTGAATGGAGGGTTTTTGAAGCAATTTTTTATTTACTAATGGGTTTGTCGCGTGTTGTGGTTTTCTGAATGCTTTTTTTTATATTGGTTGTCAAAAAAGTCTTGCGGTATTTATATTGAATTTTCAATTGTTCATAAAAAAAATAAAACTCATGCCCAGCTCTTGACCGATGCGACGGCTGCTACTATGCCGGTCTCTTTCGACCAATTCCACGATTTTGTCGTAATTTTCGACGACAGTTCTTCCGGAGCGTGGCGCATCTTCGACCACCTCTACACCAGAACGAAAATGTTAAAACCATCATTGTGCGGTGGAAATGGAAACTGTATCGGGTCCATAAACTCCACAAATTTTATTGGCGACTTGAGATGGATTTTTGCCTTTATCGTAGTAGTACTGTAAAATATGGCGTATTTTCTCTTTATTTTGCTCCATGTTTGCGACGCTATAACTCACGAACGACTTAAAAGAAACGACAATCAATCAAACACGTGTCGCATGACCCGATGCGACGAATAAAACTAGAACTACGCGCTTTCAGCGCCAGCTAGCGAAAATACCGCAAGACTTTTTTGACAACCTCATATATAGGCATATATATTTTTTATAGCAAATTTCTAACATTTTTAGTAGCCTTTCTGGTAAATTATTGTGAATGGCATCAAATTAAATTAAATATAAAACAAGTAAAAAAGGGTTCGTGTGTAACCGAACATTTTATACTATGTCCATGTGCAGGAATAAAAATTAAACGTTAATCAGAGGATTGGAATCTAAGCAATTATATATACATACATACATTCAGCATAAGATTTGTTAGAGAAACCAAAATAATTATACGTAGTTATTATACAAAATCAGCCGAATATTTGAAAATCCTGGTAGTGATTATGTGGGGCTAGGTCAAGTTTTCGACCAATTGTATCCATTTTAGATACTGTTATGAGTAAAAAACGTGCTGCAATTTTCATTAAAATATCTCAAATATTGACCGATAGAGTATACCCAGTCACGCAGAAGTTTGAAAATTTTTATATTTGGTATAAGGGGGTTCGGGGAAGTATGTACCTGATTCAAACCATTTTTGCTACACAGAGTTACTACTGCAGGAAAATGATTATGTATGAATTTCTATTGCATATGTCACACACTGACACACCTTATCGTGTAAAATTTAATTCCATTATATTAGTTCCATCTTGATTTGTGTATTGGAAGTTGAACGTCTCAAGTGGAATTTAAAATTGTGCTATATGGGAAGTAGTCCGATTTCAGTCTTTCCCACTCTGTGCTATGGGGATGTCAGTAGAATGTTATATACCAAATTTTTTTGAAATCGTTCAGTCTAATCTCAAGATTTGTATTTTCACCTAAATTAAGCGGTAGCAGTTGTTCGATTACGCCCATCTAAAAAGTCGTAATTTTTTTGTATTAAGGAACCCGCATATCAAAATTTATTTAGATATATCAATTTTTACCCAAGTTACAGCTGGCACGGATGGACGGACGGACAGAGCGACGGGCAATCACCCGGATTTCAACTGTGCTCTTCAACTTCATCATTTATATATTTATAACGCTGTATCAATCTCGCAAAACTTCCATAAATCGTATGGTATGATGCAAGAGTATGTTAGTATTTTTGAAAGTGAAATTTTTTATTTATCATCTCAAGTTTTCTGGTCAATCTTTTTACTATGAATAGTCAAAATTAAACATTCTTTTGTATTCTTTACCTTAATACAGAAATTGATCACGTCGGCAGTCCTTAATTTAATTGTGAGAGAATAACTTTGGTCCAGATGTTTTACGCTCCTTTTTACTTTCACTGATAGATTTTATTGACTTCTGAAAATTTCGCGACATCATTTATTTGAATATGTATTGCTTTTGAAACACGAAAGATGTTTTTTTTTTTTTTTTGAGCAAAACTGAACATTTAGTAGACTGTAGATTTAAATACCTCCAATTTTGATTTTTACTCAATTTTACACATACGTATTTCATTAAAGCTCAATTTATTATGGAGTCTTGAGTCAGAACTACATTAATATGAAATTCAAGTTCCTAACGAACGAGATTTTTTAAACGCTTAAGGAAAACTATTGAAATTGATATCTAATTCGATTTACAATAATGCTTTTCCTTCTAAAGAAGACGGTTGATTTAGACAGGGATACAGGGGTAACATCTATACGATCGCCAAGCGGAGACCACAGAAATTAATGATAGACTTCTTTTTCTGACAAAAAGTGTGTTCACAACAAGAAATATATTTACTATATCACTAAAGTGTCAAAGGAGAATGCTTTAATCTGTTAGTGGTTTTAACATACTATTTCACGATAAACCTACAATGGGTTCCAGGACATAGTGATATTACTGGTAATTGTTGAGGACATCACCCTGTAATTAGCCTCTGGAAAAGACTGAATGTCTTTGACTGCTTGTAAATATTTAATCGACCCTTCCTACAATTTTCTCAAGAAGAAGGCAAACGTAGCATGAATGGAATGAGGGTCGCACATGACAATTATTAAAACTCGGAAGGAATGATAATCTGGCAATCTAATTGTCAGACATACCAGCCGAAAAATAATATAGTAGTAGCTGTATCAGGAAAAGGATAATATAAAACAGCTTCTTTGCGAGTCTATGTACACCTTTATATAGAAAAATAATTGCAATTATCGGTCAAGGGTTTCTTGATGTTATTTCGGAGGTTGTTGAACTTCATAAGAAACAGAAGAAGCAGACAACCCTACGAATGGAAAACTGACTAGATTTTACACTTTATAGCCGTTACAGGTGCTTTTCTATTCAACTTCAACATTGATGTACCAATATAACAGAGTTTATGCTTAAAGAAAATATTTCTTTTTCAAAAATAATTTTTATGTATTATCTAAAGACAGAAATACATAAGAGATATTGTAGTTCATTAAAAAAAAAAAAAAAAAAAAAAAAAAAAAAAAAAAAAAAAAACAGAAATAAGAAAAAAAATAAAAATTAAAAAAAAAATGTCTTTAAAGCTTTATGATATCTTCCAAAAGAGTAGTTATTAATGTTTTTGTTGTTAAGGTAAGCTAAACTAAGCCTATGACATAAAAAATTATAAATTGCAAGAAAATAATAAAAAGAAGATGGACCAAATTTCATTGAGAAATCTTGTCAAATGAAAAATTTTTCCATAGAAAGACATGACTTTGTTCAGTCAGTTTGTTATTTGCAAAATTTCAGATCCAAACCTCAAAAAAATAGAGTATATTTAAATCATTTCAGCTATATGCGCTATTCATGGTATAAAAAAACAATAATCCAAGCCATCGAATCGTATTTTATGTACATTGAAATACTGAAAACTAATTTATCAATTAAGTTTAGAATTTGTTAAACTTTACGGGTGTGCTTGTAAGTGATTACTGAAGATATTTTACAAGGCAAGCGTAACGGCCGCAACAGTTTGACTAAAAAACCTTAATTACAAGTGAGATAAAAAAACTTCGTACTGTAAAATAGCTACAATTAAATAAAAACAAAAAAAAAAAAATAATAACAAAACAAAAACTCTCGACTAAGCAAAAAAACTGCCATTGCAAATGCGCTGCTGCTTAATTAAAAATAGTCAAGTGCAGCAGAGAAAGGAAGAACTAAACAGAAAGCAAACAAAAAACGACACACAAACGCCACTAAAGCGTAATGCAGAAGTGAACGAAATAAAAGATGCAAAAATTTTTTGCTACTACAAATGAGCGGCAGGCAGGAGTCAGGAGAAAGCGGCTAGAAAGTAAAAGTTAGTGAGCAGTGTCCTGGCCGCTATTTGTTTATGACAGTCTATTTAGCAATCCTTTGTCACTTTTGCTTTCAATGCCCCAGTTAGCTGTGCTTTCGCATTTCAGATAGCTTTTTTGTCTTCACGCATTGTGCTTACCCCTTTTTGGGTGCACTTTGAATCAGTTAGATCTGTTAGCGTTGGGTAAAAGCGCTTGACATTGAAGCTGGTCAATGTGGCGGAAAGTGTTTACTGGCAATTGCTGCGCTTAGTTAATTGGCTATCTGATTTTTGTACGTTACTGCTTGGGCGCAGTTTTTTTCTTGAAAGTTTTTCTTGGTTTTTTTTTCTTCCTTTTTTTTGTTTTTCTTTGATTTGTGCTTGGCTGCTTTGTGGTTTTTCGTGAGGAAGTAGTTGCACAAATACATAACGGCAATGTATTTTTTGTTGTGTGCTCAGACGAAGTTGCTCGTTTGGAAACTTTTTTACGTTCTTTGATGTTTTTTGTTTTCATTTTTTTTATTCTTTTGTTGTTTTTATTTTTTTGTTTGATTGTCTTTGCTATGTGTAAGCATCCTTATTTTGTGTGTTTTAGTAAGTAAAAGCTTTTTCGTTCTCCTCACCTTGCACGTGTAGATGCCTTCGTCCATGCGACTGGCCTTGGTGATACCCAAAATGGCAGTGAAAGTGTCTTTTGTTTCCGGTGGTAAGACGGTGGTCCAGATTTCTCTAGAAATACAGAAGAGGAAAGAGGAATTAAGTGTGAATAATGAGATATTTCTATTTACGTTGGAATTAATACTTTAAATGTTTGCAAAATAAAAAAAACCATTTAACTGTAATCACACTTCAGATAACTGTTTTTTTTTGAAAGAGATTATAACAAAATTAAAGATTTTCTTGAGCAAATTTGTTATTTAATATGAATGTGCTTAGAACCTGTGATTATTATTAGTTTTATATTTATTATTGCACTCGAAAATTTTAATTTTAATTTTTTTTTTTTTTTTTTTTTTTGTTTAATCGAAACACCTTCGCGCCTCTTTTCAACCTTCAACCAGCTTTTCGCCATACTAGGTATTTGCTGTAGCATAACGAAATAACTTTTTTGGAATAACCCAACGCTTTCACTATGATACTGTAGAAAGTAGTTCAGAGGGCATCTAACTGTACACTCATAGGCGGATCTCGCAGCTGTACAAGTTATGGGTGTCGGTCGTTGCGTGCCGAACTCATGAGAGATTTATTGGTCCAGCCCTAAAGCGCAAGCGCACAGCGGAGTACCGACTTGCTTCCAGTTGGATGAAATTGATACAAGGCTGCCCTCTCTAACAAGAAAGGTGAAATGAAAGCAAAATCACTAGAAGATGAATATATCATATACATATGTATGGATATACAAATAAAGTATACCTTGGAAATATTGGCTTGGTGCCAATGATGAACGAACGAACGAAGGTATTCCCACGTAAAAATGTTTCCTTAATTTCCGATAAAACTCTACCATACTTTGTAAATGGAATTAAAATTACCATAGCACCAACGAAAATTTTCTGGTTTCAAAAAAATTATAAGAATATTTATGCAAATTAGACAGATCTTGATTAAAGCCATCCGTTATTTTTAGTATAAAATATTGATGTTTCGGAAGATTAAATTAAGCTAAGCTTAACTCTAGTAAAAAGAAGCTTGCTTTCATTTTAGCTTTTATATAAGTCTTAGCTCTCACAGCTGTTTCTCGACCGGTATATCAGATTTGGAATGCAAGTGCTGAAAAAGCTGCTGAGATGATAAATTTCGTTCTTATATGGTGATCAATGAAGGTCAAAGTGAGAAAGTGAAAACTCTTCTGCTTCGGCCATAATATCGCATAAACGATTCGACTAAAAGCTTATTGCGATGAAGTGTGTTTTCAGGCCACATTTCTGGCCAAACATGCGGGTATCAATCGGGTAGTGGCTAATTAGCACACTTTAAACTTGGTAGTGTTATATGTATCTTACTAAGTTTAGAATGCTAATAGACCTTTTGCTATTCATTCCAGGCCAGTAAAAGTGCAAAAAAGATTGTGCAAAAACTAAAAAAAACCTGTGAAACCCATCAAGTTGTGTGTGTGTGTAAAGACTAGAGTGTGGGTGTGTAGACTAGAGCTGTTCGCAAACTTCTTTTCTCTATACAATTCCTGCTTAAAAAATAAAGGGACGTTCATATTATTCATAAATTTGGATAAAAATGTTTTCAATATCATTTCACTGAAAATGCTATGATGTGCTGCTAAATAAATAGATCAATTTCATTTAGTCATTAACATTTGTACATATAGAATGATTTGTATTCGTTTACCCTTTTACTACCTATCTTCATATATAAACATCTTAAATGCACAAATATATCTTCATACATACATACATTTCTTATATAAGCACATATATCCACCTACCTAGAGCCGTATGAGCACAAAGGCTTGATTAGGCTATAACTATACAGGTACACTGACATGCAACGTCGTTGACCTACAAACTAACTGCACTTGATTTCAACATAAACATATACTATGAAGCTGTGTAGTACTTGCAGCCACACAGCCATACATATGAGTGACATTGTCACCATTAGCGGCATTATTGTTAATTACTATTCAGCAGCAAAGTGGATAAACCTTTAGATTTTAACATTAGGGTGGGAGGTGTAAAATATTTTTGATTTTAAAAGATTTCTAAAAAAAGAAATTCTTAAAAGATTTCTAAGCAATAAAAAGTTAAGTAGAAATGATGAAATGATGGGATTTTAATAAAAATAATTTTATATATATTAGATTTACATCTTCTGTCACCCACCTTAATTTCCTCGTAATCACAACTACATGCGCTCAAGCATCAATTAACATTTGCGACAGATTTTTTTTTTTTAGTTTTCGCTTTGTGCAGGTGAAAATGATGCCAAAGTGCCACTTGAACTTCCTGGTGGCATATGGCACTCATATCATTTGCATGCTAAGCAGGGAATTAACATAGATTTTGCATAGATATTACAGCAATATGTTTATGAAGTATGAATGTAGTTGTGTGCACATATATATACCATATATATGCATGTTCATATATACGAGTATATTAAGTTATGCCGGCACCAACTGGTAATGATTATGCAGAATCGCTAATGAGTATGGATATGTATACTACATAAATATATGCCACACTGTAAGAGTATACATAGACATCACGGGAGCTAGAAGTATCTCACGTATACTGCATACCCTGTTAGAAAAGCTTACTCCTACGTATAATTTTAAAACTAATTATCTCCAAGTATTTGGCATCAGTAATACATTTTCTGAAGAAAATATATTCTGAAACGACTAGTAAGACTTTCCGGATCAGTCGCAAAAAAAAAATTTTTTTTGGTTTTTCTTTTTGTACTAAAATGAGTGATATAAATCAATATCAATTTCATTTAATCATAATTATAAAATTTTTGTAAGATTATTTTCCGTCTTTTAGTTACTATGTTCATATATTTTCCAACTTTTCTCATTGTTTTGACTTTTTTCTTTGAGAGTAGTCACAGCTACTTCATAAAAAGACCATGCCTTTTTTCGCATAGTATTAGTGTCCCAGATGTCATATGTGCTTTCAGGTTTATGTGTAAGTATGTATATATAAAGCACAAGTTTATTAGTATGCACTGACATATTGCAAATAGATGTGTCAAGTGGGGTTTCGCACATTGGTGCAGATTTCTATTGACATATACTGGAACGCTAACGCTGCAGCCACAGATTTATTGCAAACTTTACTGGCTTACATTACAATAAACTAGAATTCATTAATAAATGCAGGCAAACCTCAGAAACACATACAAACATTATTTGTGCAAAAGGGAGGGTCACAAAAAAAAAAACCAAAAAAATAAAAAATAATAATAAAAAAAAAATTAAAAAACAAAAAAAGAATGTCACGTGGTACTCTGAAAAATTGGTTAAATTTTGTAGAGCAGTAAAATTTTCTGCAAAACATAAGCAAGTTTCAACCATTAATACTTGTACATAAAGAGACCTTTTTGTAGAGAGGAAAAACAAAAAAGATAACTGTAAGGCAAAGAACCTTTTCATTACTATTATGAGTTTATACTTGGAGAGACTTTCTTAGGGTTGTCTAAGAACCGCTTTTGCAGAGAAACAAGCAAGAAAAATGATTAATGTATTAATTTAGGATTTAGAGCAAGTGCTGATTATGGAACTTGACGGTTTGGTGCGTAGAAATTCTTAAAAATAAAAAAATAATTAACGCATTAAAAACACTAAAACATAAAATTAATTAAACCGGAACACGTTTTGAATAGAAATAAGAATATTCTGTAACTGAGGCTAAAGGATTTATTAAGACTCGAAGGTCAAGATATTCTGATTTCTGCTTACCAATTTTTGTAGAGAAAAAAATGTGTGTCAGATCGATAATTCTTGACTGCTGATAAGTAAACAAACTCACTTACATACTTTAATATTATACGTTACAAACTTACATATGTATATATAAAAAGGTATCGATACACACGAAACCATGGTTCCACAAGAGAATACATTGCTGGAGCGGAACAGTGTCCGGAACTTTCTACCCACTTCAGTTTCTGACTTTTCGACTATTGCAGTGCTTTTCAAAGAAGTGACTATGCACTCTAATAGCAGGATAATGATACTAGCCTTGATCTCACTAATCGTGCGTTGGAGGCTGGTTAAGGAATATCTAACCTCTTTATTAATGGCATCGCATCACTTTGTGATTAGACAAGTATGTATGCCGACCCACAGCGGCATCGCAGGCGACTGCGAAGCTGATAATCTGGCAACCTAGCCTCGCTATCAGTAGAACAGGGATATAAATTAAATACTGAGATAATTTTCACTAGCCACAAGGCGCTTTCTTGACTTAAGTATTTATACACCAAATGATCTGAGCATTCACACAGTCCACAATGTCGTATTAGTACCTAACACAAAATTAATAAGGAACTTGTACCGCACGGAGACTTCAGAGAGACTCAGAAAAAAAATCAAAAAAATAAAATCAACTCAGGAAATAACGGAGAATTTATATATGTTTATGTATATATACCTTTCTTCAAATACCCCATATAAGTATTTATAGCTAATATTTAGTACATCTAAAGCGCATTTATAGTAAGTTTGTACATATACCTTGATATGCGTACGCCGCAATGGATTTGTCAAATACATGCACGATAGCATATTTTTGTTTTTTTCTTTGCAACTGAGCTTAGAGAGAGTGAGAGAGAGTTCAAGTAGCAATTCAAGTTATTTTTATTGACGAACGTGAACGCCTAAAGAAAAAGTAAATGCCTGCCTGCAAGTATTATATTGCTTTTCATAAAGTATTAGCGCAAATTCAAGTGGACTCAAGAAAAGTAAACGTGTATATTGCTGTGAAAATGTATACATGAACTTATAGGTAATAATTTCATCAAGGCTTGACTAGTAACTTATGAATATACATATACACACATATAGAATATATGCTTGTAATTCTAAAAAATGTTAAAAAAGGAACAGGACGAAGGATAAAGTAATAGGAAATTGAAATAAAGATAATAAAAGAGAAAAGTATTTTTTTCCTAAATATTAAAGGAAGTTGAGCTAGTGGGCAAGAAGGATAGAAAATAGTAAAAAGTGATATAGGAAGATCAGTGGGACAACTAAAGAGAGCAAGAATGCG